AACACACACACATCCTGTCGAAAACATGCGTTTTTGCATCACACAGTTGCAAAAAACGCATAAAAGATGAATAGTCCCCATTTATTGGTCGTTCATTGAAAATCACCCATCAGCTCTACTGTCCGCGTTAGTAATTTTCCCGCCTAAGCTTGTCCGTACATGCCACGGTGCGTCGACGCCTCAGTGGCAAGGTAGCCGACTGTCACGTGGGCACCCCGAGTTCGATTCCTGCCGCTGGCCCACGCTGCATCGACAGTTTCTTGGCAAAATACTGTCCTGCCACACTCTCGTCCCGGGTTTGAGTCCTGCTCCGGGGTAGCATCGCTGGCCTAGCGACTGGATGCCCGTTTGTCGCGTTGACGTCGCAAGTTCGAACGCCGCCGGTGTCTGTGGGCTCTGCATTGATGGCTCAGTGGTAGGATGCCAGATTACCACACAGGGCGTAGGGGGTTGGGCTGCTGCGGCTGACCCATGCTGCAATGTTGGCGCAGTGGAAAAATGATTACCCACTACACAGGCGAAGCAGGTCCGATTCCTGGCTCTGCCATGTAAGTAGACAGCGCTGTCCCGAGGCTTCGGGTTCGGGCCCCAGCGCAAAATTTTTGGTGCCAGACCGGCGATGCACCGTTCGCGTACCACAATGCTGATGTCTCGTTCGAACCCAGCCAGTGTCCGCGCCGTCCCCAGTGGCCTAGTGGCAGTGTGCCTGTTTAGTACACCGGAGCTCCCAGGTTCCACTTCTGCCACTGGCCCGCACTGCACAGATGGCGCAGCGGAAAATCTGCCCGTTTACGGCGCTGCCGTCGCGAGTTCGAATCCCAACTGATCCCCTAGCTCTTTTGACTGGACGCCCATTGCTTGCCTTTTCAGTCGCTGGAACGCACCTGACTTGCCTGTTTGTTCATGCTTTTTATGCATTTTGTGCTGTGTGACAGCGTTACAAAACGCACATTGTCACGGGGTTGTCTGTGTGTGTGGGTGTGTGTGCATATGTGTGTATCTGTGCGTGTGTGTGTGTGCGTGTGTGTGTATGTCCTACGTTTTGTCCTGCACTTTCAACTCGGGAACCACAAAAGCTAGGCGGCTTAAATTTTGGTATAGTGTTCCCCGTTAACGGGTCCAATTGTTTCTAGGAAGTCATTTATTTGCGGCATAAAATACGTTTCTTTTTTTTTGAGTGCGCAGACATTTTAGGTTATTTAGGAAGAAAATCCATTCAATCGGTCTTGTGGTATTTGTGCATTACCTGTGTGAAATAGCATGTATATTAGAATTGCCTGAGTATGATTGGTGTGGCTATTCCATATTGATGATGTTACTAGGATGCCCCCAGTTGCAGCTATGCGAGGGGCTTTTGAACACGAGCTGATTGCTAGGAGTATCGCAGTGAGATGCAGCGTTTCTGGGAGTTACGAAAAGAGGAGGGGAAGAGGAGAGTTTTTGGAATATTCATATTGGAATATTCATATAAGGATATGTCCTTAGCATAATTTTGCTATTCTTTTTTAGTGTCTTGAAAAATTTGGTGATGGAGCATGGGACATGTGGGGACTTGAGTCCCGGTAGTACAGTACGTTTGTCGCAAATCCCTGCGAAAATCTGACTAAAAAAGGTTGGGAGGTGCCATGTACTCTGTCTTATCCAGGAAGACAAGACATGGTGTCGAGATTTTGCTAATAACGAACGATGAGCGGCTTCCGTTTACGACAAAATTTTAGGATTGAAAATCACCTTTTTTTTGGAAATTGGTCAATACTGGTCAAGTTTTCCAGGGCAAATGTGTAAAAAAAAACACGAAAAAAAAGAAAGTAATTGTGGTGTGTGGAGAAACTTACCGCATAATTCTCGTTGTCGTGATTAACGAATGCTGGTTTATTATGAATGATTGTTTATTTTGAAGTTATGCCGCAAAATCGCGTTCATTGGTGAGCAGCGGCAGCAATGAGCATAGTGGATGCATCTGTTGTATGGAACAAACGCAGTGTTGATCCGTGGAATCGAGTGACCTGCTGCAAAGAACCCGTTCTAACTGTCATCGAATTTTGTCAGGTTTTTTTTCTGTAACAATTTTTGGAGAAATGTCTGTAAAAGATATTTTTGCGTGGAGGTAAGTGACCAGCAGTGCAAAGCAATAGATGGAAAACATAGACTTTTGAGTGGTACTTACGCAGTGTCATGCAAACAACGAGGAAGTCTACTGGTTAATGCACCTGAAAGGGCCCGCTGGCATATCTGTGTCGAATTATGTGAATGCGACGAGCTCAGAATAGGATAAATGAAGAATCTGCCTACTGCTGGATTACTGCGAGAAGGAGCAGCGTTATGAAATAGCGACTAACAAAAGTATCGAGGTGTGAGGAAAAAACATGCATCAAAATGACTCAATGAAATCGAGGTTACTGATTTACGCCCAAAAAAACAAAACGAGTCAAATTAAGTGCAATTAACTAAAAAGATCAAACAAAAATTAAATAAAATGAGTTGAATTATAGGTACAAGGTCCGCGACCACTGTATACACATCCAGCAAATACTGGCCCACATCTTGATCTGGATAGCGTTGCAATTTGGTTGATGAGTTCGGAAGCGATCCATGGCTCCAGTCTGATCGTCTACAATCAACAGATGGCCATTTATGCATGTGTCCACCATTCCACTCTGCTGGATCTGCATGCTCGAGCATTTCAGGTGTTATTTGTTAGTTCTGTAGTTTATGAATATTAAATTTAGCTACCTTCCATGCTGGCTTATACCTGAAAGCAATATTTGCTAGATGTGTATTATAGTGGCCGCGGACCTTCTACCCCTATAATTTGACTCATTTTGTTTCTTAACGCAATTTAGTAACCTCTTCGATACAGGAAAGGGCTACCACCGGTTCACCGTTGATCGATATACAAGCTGACAACATTTGTTCTTGGACACAGGTGCTTAATTTCTCCGAAGCTTTTTCAGCGGCCGATATCAATAGCTCTGCTAACGGCTGTGAAACCAACTACGGCAATTTTTAAGAAATTTAATGAAATCACTCGTCGATTACTTTCGCCATTACTGGTCTGCAATCGAACATTATTCAAGTTTGCTTCTTTTCCTTCCTTTATGTTCTCTTAGATAAGGGCATAGCTTTGTGGTAAATAGCGCATTTCTGGTGCTTTTGATGCAGAGTTCGACTTCGCCAGTAGGAAAACCAATCTTTTTACGACTCACTTAATTCATTTTGATTGTAAATAAGCACTGGCGTATGCAAGAATACCGAAATCGCCATCAGTTTGCTTCTAGGCAAACCTCGGAAACAGGAAACCATCGATAGCCGGGTAAATTGATATGTACTATCCTTTCTGACTCTTGTCTGTTGGTATTACCTGTGTTGTTATTCCTTAAAGAGAAAAAACCATTTAAAAAATTCAATAGCAAAACTTCACAGGGATTTGGTGCTGGTGGCCATAGCGTAGAGGATTGGTGCATGGTCGGCAGCTGAGCTTCCTGAGTTCGATGCCTGTCTGTACCCGGTGTTAATTTGTGTGGATGAAGAGACAGTGATAATAGATAGGGACATCTGATACATTACACTGATGTCAAACTTTGGTCTGACACACAACAATTTT